GGCGCCGGGCTCCGCCCCGCCACTGCTGCCCTACCCCCCGGGCGGGAGACACCCGCACAGGACCTGCGCGCACAGCCCGGGGATGGTTCCCTCGCGGGGCCGGGGCCGGGTCGCCCGGGGAACGCGCCGGCCCGAGAAAATGCCCCGTGCCCGGCCCCACCCTGCCTGGGCCGCGCTCAGATGCTGCCGGGATGGGGGGAGGAGACCGGGGTGGGGAACAGCCCCTTTGCCCAGCCCCTCCCGCCGCATCTGCCGGAGCGCTGCGAAGTGAGCCAGGCTGTGGCCCCGGGGAAGCCGCCTCGCTGTTTCTGTGCGCTGGGGGGAGGGGAGAGAGCAACGGGATTTATGGGTTGGAATTGCTGGCTGTTCTCTTCGGAAGAGACGTTAATTAGTGACACCCCCCCCCCCCCCCCCGCGGTTTGATAGGTACAGTCCTGTCTTCAAACATGAACAACCCACCAGTTAGTTTACTTGCTACGTTACCTGTTTTCGTGGTTGGTCGGGCTGTATTGTCTCCCACGGTTTCAGAAACCAAACAGCAAAGAAGGACGTTTAAAAAGCACTTGTCATAATAGCAATTTCTGAATTTGAAAGCTATCTCCTTTTTGTCTTTAAGCCTTCATCTGCAGAAGAGACTGCCCTTAATTAACTTGAATAGTACAATAGGAGAGAGTATTCCATTGAAGATCTGAGTTTTTATTTTCTACTAGTACAGATGTGTGTAGTATAGTCCTGAGATGTGCACCATGAAAGGAGCATGTAAACTACAAATGCATTTTTAATGCATAGGGCTATTCTCACCATGTTGTTCCAAGTGCTATCAAATGTCCTTTTAATTCAAAGTAGTTGTATATTTTATAGGGTGGTAAGACAAGCTGAAGTCTGCTTCTGTTGCCTTATGCCAGAAAATAATTAAAAATTGCCATCAGGTTATTGAAAGAGTTGTGTGGGTTAAAGAGGTGAATATATTCAAAGTAGGGATGTTAGATACAGTTTAGTTTAATAATCATGTAACCGCACAAAATCTTAGTTCGATGGTCCCTGGGGGCAGGCACTCAGCCAGTACACTCCCAGCCCCATTCCTGGGGAGCCCCTTGCAACCCCATGCTGCTGTCTCTGTATCTGTATCAGAAGCAGCAGCATGAAACATCAGGTGGGCACTGGTCTGAGAGGGGAGCTGGTTTTAAAAACAGAGGCAGCAGTGCAGGATGGCAGTAGCCCCTGTCCATGGGGGTCCAAGCTCCCCATGCGCAAAGTTGTGCGCCGACATCCTGTGTACCCCCCGCCCTCTGCGCTGTTGCCTATGATACAGAGGGCATGTCTAGACTACATCCCTCTTTTGAAAGAGGGATGTAAATTAGACAGATCAAAATTGCAAATGAAGCCGGGATTTGAATTTCCCGTGCTTCATTTGCATAATGGTGGCCGTGTGTTCTTTCAAAAAAGGGCTTTTTGAAAGTGAAACCGCCATCTAGACGCAGTTCTTTGGGGGTGGGGGAAGGGACTTTTTCAAAAGATCCTGTACTCCAAAAAATGAAATTCAATCCCGACTTCATTTGCAATTTTGATCGGTCTAATTTACTTCCCTCTTTCGGAAGTGGGATGTAGTCTAGACATGCCCAGAGTCAGGGCAGGCTTTTAAGATGATTCCACCCAAGTACCGTCTTCTGCCTACCCCCACTGCCTCTTTGGGACACAGCAAGGGGGAGCAGCCGACTGTATCAGAGGCTGCAGCACTGGGGGGAAAGGGGGTTCCACAGGATCCAGTGCTCCTGGGGGCCTAGTTTAAAAGTTCCTGTCTCCACCTTTGCTGACTCTAATACAAGTGGTGGGCTATGTAGTCTTTTGGATTAACCAATAAATCCAGTCTTTTTGGTTAATTGTTTAATGACTGAGTTAATATCCCTAAACAAAAAATGAGTGGACAAAAAATTATTTTAAATATGATCTTGTTTTTTATGAGTTCTGTATTATGAGAGAATTTCAGTCCCTCCAAAAAGTATCAGTAAAGGATACTTTATAGGGGTCATAGCAGTATGTCTTGTGGTTAGTCTATGACTAGAAGCTAAGACTGGGTTATATTACCTATTCTTCACAGGTGTCTCCCATAACTTTGAACATATCTCTGTTTACCCATCTGAAACAGAATTATCACTAGCCTACCTCATATGGGTATATGAGCCTTTATTAGTAGGATGCTTTGAAGTCCTTGGATGAAAGTTCTAGTTAAAAGTAAAGTACAGTTAATCTAGTTTTTTTTTAATTATTCACATATGAATCAGAATAAATTAGTCTTATGGAATCTAATCATAATCCACTTATTAAGGTCACTTTCCTTTTTAAAAATGCTAATTGAATTAATGAAAAATGACTTTGCCATTCCAGAAACCACATGATAGCAACAGTTCCACCAGGCCCTTTCAGGGCACCATTTTACCATGTGCACCAAGTGTAACTTACCGGATGACAAAAGGTGTGGACTCAAGTGAGGAGAGCTTCTCTGATTCAGATGATGACACTTCTGTGTGGAAACGGAAACGACAAAAATGTTTTAACCTTCCTCCGATTAAATCAGAGCCTTTTCAGTTTGGCCAGAGTCACCAAAAGCAAACTGTTTTAGGAGGTAAGAAGATCAACAACATTTGGGGTGCAGTGCTTCAGGAACAAAATCAGGATGCAGTGGCCACTGAACTTGGAATTTTAGGAATGGAAGGTAATATTGACAAGAGTAGGCAATCTGAGAGTTACAATTATTTATTGGCTAAAAAGCTGATGAGAGAAACTGACCAACATGTGGAGGAGATATTAGACAAAGAGCTGGATGAATACATGCATGATGACAAAAAACCAGTGTCAAAGGAGGAAGAAAATGGACAAGGACTTCTCAAACGGAAACGGCCTGTGAAGGACAGACTGAGTGAAAGACAAGAAATGAATTATACAGGAAGGTATGAGATTACTGAAGAAGATTCTGAGGAAAAAGTGGCTGATGAAATTTCTTATAGGTGAGATCTTATGTTCTTACATTGTTTAGGTTATGTGAAAGTTACTGAAGAGGATTAATGGCTGACTGTTTTAGGTGCCCATGTTACATTATGTGAAAGGGGTTTGAACAGTTTGTTCAGGTTCCCAGAAGTCTGAAATCTAAATGCAGTATTATTTGTGGGGCTGGTAGCATCACTTTGTATCAAGGTTGCCCAATACTTTTATAAGATCTTGTTTTCAGTTGTTCATGCCTTTAACCATTTCAGCTTTAATTTTCCATGAAAGGTGTCAACTTGAGGCTGATTTAAAAGGGAAAAAAAGCACCTTCAGCCAAAAGCATTCAGCAATTTCTGAGAATAAGGCTAAGGAAATAATGTTTTGGGCATGTTGAAAAATGGTGGAAACCTTTTATTTAAAAATCTCTAGTGCCTCTATCCACATGTGTTTCAGAGGAGATACTTGAAAGATGTGCTTTTTGCTATCCTTATGAAAACCTGCCCAAAATGGGCTAAGTTAGGGCTTTTGTAATGCTAACAGTCATTTAAATGATTAACGGATAAGCCTGAGCTTATTGGTTAATCCAAATGACTACACGCAACCCCTCCCCTTGCTTGCGTCTGTATGAGAGGCAGCAGGAGGGTGGGGTGGGAGCTGTTGTTGGTGTGTGTGCTGGTTCTTGGAGAGTCGTCTGCCCTGCACCCTCACTGCTTCCTACTGAGACAGCAGCATGTGGGGGCAGGCAGAGCACATTCTTGAGAGAAGAAGCCTTTGAAGCCGGCTCCCACGTACTGGCTCCTGCTGAGCCAATTCTCCACAAACCCCCTAGTACAGAGGCAGGTGGGGGTGGAAAGAGAGTTGGTGCTCTCGCCCCTCCCTCCCACAACGTAAACGTGTATCTGCTGAAAATTTCACAAATAAACGCATTTAAACATTCCTAATACAGAGTCAGTAGCCTGGGGCGGCAGCCAGCTCCCTGGAAGCGGGGCCAGGACCCTGAATGTAACCTTAACAGTTATACTGTTACATCTCTACCGTCAGAGTAGTTAAACACAGGAATAAATTGCCTAGGGAGTTTGTGGAATCTCCATCATTGGAAATCATTAAAAACAGGTTAGACAAACATCTGTCAAGGATGATCTAGACGGTGCTTGGTCCTGCCATGAGTGCAGGGGACTGGACTTGATGACCTCTCTAGGTGCCTTCCAGTTCTAGTATTCTATTATATTTGTCCAAAAACTTTGCATCTATTTAGTTACAAAGAATGTAAGATTACTCTCTGAACTCTTGTATTAATTTAACAGTGTTTCATATACCATCAGTTTTATGGTTTCTTGTGTATAGATAGTGGTTTGTGATGCTGCAACTACATGCGCTTGGGCAAATGCTTGTTGAAAAGATCTTACAAACATCAGTAGTGAGGAAAAATATTTAAAGATATTTAAAAACAAAATTGTGCATCTTATTTGAAGATTGAACTGTTGCAAGTACAGTATATTAAAATCCGTCTTAAAATCAGAGTTGGCAGTAGTTAAACAGAAAATCTATATGCATCTTTAGCTTGCAGTAATTAAAGCTTTAATCTCCTGCAGCATTTATAACACTAGCTATTTGAGTAGCCCCATTGAAATCACATGCTTAATTTATTCATGTGAACAATCCCACTCACTGGGAGAAATGCTTTTTTTTAGGCTTCAGGAACCAAAGAAAGACTTGATAGCCCGAATAGTGAAAATAATTGGAAATAAGAAAGCTATTGAACTGCTTATGGAAACAGCTGAAGTGGAACAAAATGGTGGACTCTTCATAATGGTAAGAAACTGTATTTTGCAACCTGTCTTCATTCTAAGTACTATTGCAGTGCTTTCACACTTGATAAATTTTCCCAAATTCCCTGTATTAAATCTGTCTTCATCATGAACTTCATACCCATCCCTTTTCCATTTGATCCATGAAAACAATCAACAGTTAAACATTTAAATAGTTCATGCTTACATATAAATAGGCTTCGCAAAGTCGGTTTTTATTTTATAGTTTTTAAGCCTTTTTGAAGTATTCTTTCAATGTAAATTTTTGCAGTTACGGGAATTTGGGGGAGTTAGGCCATTGGGATGGGAAGGTCAAACAATTATTTAAAGATGGAGTTCAAAAATTAGTTTTGTAACCATAAAAACTAGAGATGTTAAAATCATGTGACATGGTAATTGTGTAACCACTAACAAAAAATCTTAGTGGTCTCTCATGCTTTGGGCTCTACAGTATAAAGTTTAGCAGCAAAGTCTTTCCGGGAGACCAGGGTCACCAGGCCCTGTTCACATTTCGTAGGGTTTCTTGAAGTCAGCAGATTCAAGAAGACAATACTGAGCTGCTATCTTCAGAAACATGAGGGCTAGTAGCTTTTTTATTTTTGTAATGAAAGCTTTAGATTATTCCTGTGGGAATTCTGCTAAAAAGTTAAAAATTCTCCATGTATTTTTAAATTCTGAAAAAAAAAATCTATTTTATTTGTTAAAATAACAAATTATAATCACATCAGTTTCAATTATTTTGGTGATTTATTTCATAATATCTGTCAGCAAGTATGTCTAACAATGCAAGCAGCAAAAAAGATGCAGGGTTGTGTTGTGTGCTCTTCGTTTTTTTGTTGTTGGTTGTTGACATAGATTCCTTATTGGTGTATTTAAATTAATTACTGAAAATTGTTTTAACTACAATACAGACATTTGTTTCCCACACTCCTCAGTGCAAAGGCTTGGGGGAGCCAGGGATAACAAAGGAGCTGAAGGAGCAGAAAGGAGTCTCGGAGTGAATCTGGAGTAGGGATGTAAGCGTGTAGTCGACTGTTGAACTACCCAATAAGCTGCCTCTGTATGAGAGGCAGCAAGGGGGAGGAGGACAGGAGCCAGTGCTAGGGAGAGCCGACTTAAAAGCCGGTTTTCCCCAGCACTGTCTCTGTGGACCCGCCTCCCCCTTGCAGCCTCTAAGGGAGGGTGCTACAAAGTGGGGAATAAGGGAGGCCCAGGTTGCCTCAAACAGGAGCTGCTGGGTCCAGCACGAGTCGGGATTGCTGGGTCCAGCATGAGCTGGGATGGTGAGCCTCTGTATTTTAAATGTAGTAAGAGCTTGGTGGCTCTTACTACATTTTAAATGTAGAGCCGCAGTGGTCCAGAACTGACACAAGCTGAGATTGTTCAGTCCCGGCTCCATGCAGCTCCTGCTGTGGCTCTGTGGAGGGCTGCCTTATCGATTAGTTGTGTAGTCTAGGGATGTTAAATTTCAATTATTCATCTAATTGAATAGTTGATGGAATTTCCATCGACTACTTGATTAATCAATAAGGGGGGTGCTCGTGTACATTTCAAAAGGAGAGGGGCAGTGGGAACTTGTGCCAGCGAGGATCAGAGCAGTCCCTGCTGGTGCAGATTCCCCTCTGAGTCTTTTCCTTTAAAATGTACAAGAGCTGCTTGTGGCTCTCGTACATTTCAAAGTGAGACAAGCAGCAGTTGGACCAGTGCAAGTGGGACTGTTTCAGTCCCTGCTCATGCCATCTCCCCTCTGCCTTTCCTGCCCCCCTCAGTAACAGTGCTATGGGGAAGTGGCTTTTAAGCTGCTCCTCACCACCCCTTGCTGTTCTCTCTGATAGAGGCAACAAGGTGGGGGAAATGACCAGTTGAGTTCCTACTCAACTACCGGATAAGCATTTGCTTATCGGGTAGTCAACTAATTGTTTACATCCATAGTGTAGTTAATACAAATTGTATTGACTACACTATTAGCCAGAGCATCACAATTTAACATCCTTAATCTGGAGGGTATGAGTGAGGGTAGTAGGAACAGGGTTGTGTGGGTTTTTTTGAATTATTTGGAAGGGAGGAAGTTGGGGAGCTTCCTCTATGCAGGGTTTTTTTGAATTTTTTTTGGAAGGGAGGAAGTTGGGGAGCTTCCTCTATGCAGACTCTGGCTGACACCAAACCTCTCCTATTCAGCTGTGCACACTTGCCCTTATACCCCTGTGGTTCTGGAGCCCTCCCACCCTTTTGGCATCTGGGCTCAATGCAGTTACTCCATTTGCTTCTGAGCCTGTACCACAATCTGAACCCATCTAGGATACCCCCTGCCCAGAAACCCCACGTGCTCCACTCTGCCTCCTAGCCTGGCTCCCAGCCAGGCAGCTGTGAGATAAATACCTGGCTGCTACTAGTGTGGTCTGGCACCACAGCTGCCTTGGGTGAGCAAAAGGCAGAACTTCAGTAGTTCTTGGGCAGAAAGTATTTTTGAGGTGGATGTGGGGATTCTCCACTGGACAGTTTTCCCAGGAGGTTCTTGGGCAGACAGTATTTTTGAGGTGGGTGTGGGAATTCTCCACTGGACAGTTTTCCCAGGAGTATGGAATTCTGCAGTATCCATGTCTACTACATCAAGCAGGTTGGATGTTGAACAGCACTGGTGTAAAGTTCAATAAGTATAGATGTCAAGATGACAGGTTCAACATCTAACTTAAGCTTATTCCCAAGTACTAATTTTTGAATATAATTTCAGTGTTTCTTATTTGCTCTGGGTAAACTTTTGTAGTAAAGGGAAGGAATCTTATAAATTTCATTTTACAGCCTTGGTAGTTAAGACTTACATCTTGTTTGCATGCCTATGTTGAGAGTCATTATAGATAAGTTTGTCTACAGATGTTACTAAGTATAGACTTTGTTATGGGTTGAGGGCTATCAAAGTTTGTACAACAACTGAGCTATGGGAAGAGCATAAAATATGCATAAATTACTTTAATCCTATATTTCCAGGAGCCACTCTTGATAATGATACTTAAAGTATTTTATCTGAACATTCATGCTAATGAACTTAGATTTCTTTTAGGAATAAATGCTTCCTTGAAGGATTAAAGCATTTGCCGCTCAAATGAAAAGAAAGTATGTTGTAACTCCTGAGAATACTTGCCCATCATATTCTTCAGATAGTGAATTCTTTTATGTATGTGCCACAGAAGTATTTTTGACCAAACTTAAAGAACACCTCATAGTTGCAGTTGTTTTCTGTTAGGGTTTTATGTGCAGTCAAACTGATAAGTGTGTATTGTCCCTGTAGTAACTTGTCTTAAAATTATTAAAGATAAATGCAATAAAACTAAATTTTTGTATTGGTATTGGGCTATTCCTGTTGATTTTTTTGGTCATATTTAATGTTAGTGTTTGTGTTCAAACAGTATAAAGGAAAGTGTTAAATTATGTTGTTAGCAATATATTACATGGCCATAATTTTCAGTCTTTTTAATGTTCAGCTCCATTCATGCTCTAATATGACTCTATCACTACATGTTGCTACTGTTACATCAGCCACTGAACTCAAAAGGAGCATGAAACTACTGTGCAGAGAGGGAGGTTTCAGAATTATTTTTTTTAACACGTCAGGTCTTGAGTAGAGATGTTAACATGTGTTTACTTCCAAATACAGTAAACTTCCGATAATCCAGCACCCTTAGGACCCAGGGGGTGCCGGATTATCAGATATGCCGGACTATCGGAAGGGGGGGCTATGAAGGGTCTGTAGTGGGGTAGGGGGATGCCACCCCAGACCTCTCATAGCCCCCCCTTCCGATAGTCCAGCTCTGCCCCAGGCGTCCCTGATTCAGCCGCTGCTGGTAAGTTTCAGCAGCGGCTGAATTGGGGACACCTTGGGCAGAGCAGCTGGGGTGCTACCGGGTTGGTCCGGTAGCGCCGCCCCTCGGCGCTGCGAGACCAACCTGGCAGCACCCCATCTGCTCTTGGGGATGCTTGGGACAGAGCAGCTGGGGTGCTGCTGGGTTGGTCCCGCAATGCTGCTCCTCGGGGCCGTGGGGCCAATCCCAGCGGACCACCC